GTTTTGTAACTGACTCTTGTAGAACAAAGCTGCATTCATAGATCTTCCCTAGGTCATAGTTTTTAACTCCCTGTATTGTTCTATATAATGTTCATCACAATTCCTCAATTTGTTTCCAAGCCAACGATTAACAAGGCTTGTTACCTTCTCAGGCTTACTACCAAATTTGCCATAATTTGTGCAGGCATAATCTGGTACAATCCATGGCATCCACATCAATAACCATGCCCACCTCTCCAGCTTCTACGGCAACAAAAGAGGTTTTCAAAGAACGTAGCGGTCTTTGCCGATCACATTCTGGGATAAATCTTTGTAAGAAAGCTGGCATCCGGAGGTCTTACTCAGATAACCACCTTTGTTACTTTGTTAACCGCATTCGTTGTGAATCATCAAAACCAAACCTAAAGAACAATCGGTCTGCTGGGATATTCTTGTTGCAGATATCTAGCTCCATAATTCCAGACTCGCTCAAATCATTTCTGTATGATCCAGAGATGAATAAGGATTCGAGTATAGCTGACAAGGATGTGAATTTTGATGAGAATCCCATGGAAAATGATGAAGAAGAGAAGGAAATTAAAGAGCAAACTGGGTGGATAGGTTGTTAGAAATTCAAAGTCTCTGGAAGATTAGACAGCAAGAAGAGAGTGTCGATGGAGCTGAGATTTGTGATAGCGAGAATGGGGTTTGGGATTGTGATGATGATGGAGATGAGGTTGGTTGTGTTGCAAATTATGACTCGGAAGGAGAAGGAAGCAAAGAGATATATGATCGTGAATCCTTCTCGAAATTATTGGTCCAGGTACCGTGGTCTGATACCAAGCTTTTCTCTCAGCTGGCCTTCTTATGCAACATGGCTTATGTGATACCAGAGCTCAAGGTGTGTACTTTTATATATTGGTTATACATTTTGCATTTCACTAAATTTCCTTTCCTATTCTCTGACCACTGCCATCATATTGATATTATATTAAGGGGTTTCTTTTTGTGTCTAAACGGAGTTAGTACATTTCCAAACAGAGATTGGTCAGATCAGAATTGAGAGCAATGGGGAAAAGTTCTCAAAGCCTAGGCTCTTAATTCTGGTTTTTGGCTAGGCGTGAACTCCTTTGCCCAATTCTATTTTTCCTTTTCAGTTGCTAGGTCTACAAGAAACTTCTAAATTTTAGAACTTAATTAGTTGCATGATACAGATTTAGAATATGGAAAGGAGGAAGTTTGAAGTTTCCTAAGAAATGAGAGTAAACAATATACTCAACTTTCTTTCTTTTAATTTGCCCATCCTCCATGTAGATCCATAAATTCATCATTTCTTTCTTGTATAAAGGTGTAACATTATTCCTGGTTATATATGCAGGGCAAGGATTTGAAGAGATATTATGGCCTGGAGTTTGTTACATCTTCAGTGGAAAAGAAAGCAGAGGTGGCTGCAATTAAAGTAAAACTTGATCAGGACTTAACTCGTGTACCTGTAACTGCTACAGCAGCCAGCGAATCCAACTTCCAGAAACCTGTGGATTCAGAGCAGAAACGTTCTAGCCGCTCATCAATTGCTTATGAGATTGCTGCTTCAGTTGCCTCTTATGTTCAGTCACGCACAAAGAACCTTTTAGCTCCAAGCTCCAAGTCCCACCATGAGGGTCATAATGTTGGTCTAGGTAAAGATGGAGACCAGCCCGAAAAGGAAGAAGAGAACTTACCTCGAGTGTATGAATCAGAGGTGGCTGCTTATATGGCAGCATCAACAATGACTGCTGTGGTTGCAGCAGGGGAGAAGGAGAAGCAAGAGGCTGCGAGGGATCTTCAGTCAGTTCATTCATCACCTTGTGAATGGTTCATTTGTGATGACTCAAGCACATATACTCGTTGCTTTGTGATTCAGGTAATTCGTGTCTTTTTTCTGTTTTTTTTTTTACAACCATAAAGTTATTAAAGCTAACACAGATATGTGAACTTATACTCATCCTTTAAGCAATAAATACCTCTTGTTTTCACATGAAAACACATTGGTATGAGGAATCTTTCAGTCTGACATCTATCTCAATTGAATTGTAGGGATCAGACTCATTGGCATCTTGGCTGGCAAACCTTTTCTTTGAACCGACTAAATTTGAGGTGAGCAAAGGTGGAAGGTCAAAGATATTCGAAAGGGAAACTTCCAACCGGGTGAAATTTTTACAGAGATTTCAAGTAGTCACTAAGAAGTTGTCCCTCTTTTTGCAGGATACGGATGTGTTCGTTCACAGGGGAATTTATGAAGCTGCAAAGGGTATCTATCAACAATTCTTGCCAGAAATTATGGACCATGCGAAGAAACATGGGGATCGTGCAAAATTTCAATTCATCGGTCATTCCCTTGGTGGTAGCCTTTCTCTTTTAGTTAACTTGATGTTGCTGACTAGGAGAGTTGTCAAGCCTTCTGCTATGAGGCTAGTAGTCACTTTTGGCTCACCATTTGTGTTCTGCGAAGGTCAGAAGATACTGAAACTCTTGGGCTTGGATGAGAGCCATGTTCATTGCGTGACGATGCACAGGGACATTGTCCCTAGAGCCTTTTCCTGCAAATATCCCAACCATGTCTCACTATTCCTTAAGCGTTTGAGCTCATTCCGGACACATC